GTAGTCCCAGCTACTTGGGAGGTGGAGGCAGGAGACTCGCTTGAGCCCAGGAGTTGGAGGTTGCTGTGAGCTGTGATGCCATAGCACTCTATCCAGGGGGACAGCTTGAGACTCTGTTTCAAAAATAAAAAATAAATAACAATAAATAAACGTGTATGCATTAACTGTCATCAATTTATAAAGTGCTTGAACATCTGACAAAACTAGTTTCTTCATTACTCTTCTTTTAAAACATTTTAATTAAGAATTGAATGCAATATTCTGTGTAAAGATGGAGTGGTATAAATAAAAACGTTTGAAATCCTGTCATTCATGGCAACGTGGATGAGCCTGGAGGACAGGACTTGCAGTGAAGTAAGCCAGGCACCAAAAGGTAAATATCGTATGTTCTCACGCGTGTGTGGGGAGCTAAACAAAAAATTTGAGTTCATGGAAATAGAGAATGGAATTGTGGATATTGGAGGCTGGGAAGGCTATGCGGGGCAGGGGAACATGGAGAAGTGTTGATTAACAGATACAAAATTATGACTGGACAGGTGGAATGAGTTCTGGCGTTCTGTAGCACTGCAGGGTGAATATGGGTAACTGTAGTTTATTGTATATTTTCAAAAAGCTAGAAGATGGGGTTTTGAATGTTCAGAACAAAGAAATGATAAATACGTGAGGTGATGGATATCCTAATTACCCTGATTGGATCACATACTTGTACCAAATACTCTATATCCCACAAATATATACAATCATTATGTGTCAACTCAAAGTAAAAGGAACAAAAAAAGGTTGACTGGTGTGGAGAAAGTCTTTTTTTTGAGACAGAGTCTCACTTTGTTGCCCTTGGTAGAGTCCTATGGCGTCATAGTTGACAGCAACCTCCAACTCCTGGGCTTAAGTGATTCTCTTGCCTCAGCCTCCCAAGTAGCTGGGACTACAGGTGCTGGCCACAATGCCCGGCTATTTTTTTTTTTTTCGTTGTAGTCGTCACTGTTGTTTGGCAGTCCCGGGCTGGATTCAAACCCACCAGCTCCCATGTATGTGGCTGGTGCCCTAGCTACTGAGACACAGGTGCTGAGCCATGAAGTGTTTTTGAATGGCGTGAGTATGCCGGAGAGGTAAACAGTGGCTGGGTGTGGCCAGGGAAGAGCGCTATTCAGTGAGAGACTCCAAGGCATTGACTGATTCTCCCCAGTGTGCTTCCTTGGGGAGGTACCGTGTCACTTCACTCTCAGGGGCAGACCTGGCCTCCCTTAGAGGTCTAGGTCTTGAGAGTTTTGTGCTGGCTGCTCTCCCTTCCCATATCTCTGCTTTGCACAAATTGAAGGAAGTAATTGAAATTTTATCACATTAGCTAGAGCGGAGGTCCCGTATTACGACTGCTGGGCAGCCACCAGCAGGTTGCACACCACTATGACATGGGCGGCTCTGCTTTCCCTGGACCTCTGAGGGCCAGGCCTGAGGTCTGGAATTAGACTTCCTGCGTTCCGACCCAGCTCTGTGA